GGTGAGCACACGCGCCCTATAGCAAAAACTTCTCAAAAAAAAAAAAAAGACCTGTAGAAACACCTTTGAAACCTGATTTTTGTCTCCATATCATAGGAAAACAACTGGTAGCACTGTAGAAGTGAGATACTTAGGCAAGTGTATATAAAAATAAACCTAATATAAGCCACAAACATTCAGGTAAGACAAATAAGAACCCAAACTAAGACAAAAACATTGGTAATTTAAAAAGAGGAGACTATGATTTACTAACAGAATTAACTGGAAATGTTGATATATAAGGTTGTTGGGAAAGTCATGATATATTTTTCTATTTTTTTCTAAGCAAAAATGTGTCATGACTTTTTCAACAACTCAATAAAAGAGAATTTACCTGGCTTTCTACCCAAAGGAAGGAACACACTCAGTTGGAAAAACACATGCACATCCATATTTATTGCAGCATTATTCACAAATGATAAGACATGGAATCAATTCAGACATTCAAGAACAGAACAATAGATTGAAAAAGCTTGACACATACACACTATGGAAAACTACTCAGCCATGAAAAACAGTGAAACCCTGGAATTTGACATAATGTGGACAAATTTATTGTTAAGTGAAATAAGCCAGACTATGAAAGCAAGACTATGAAAGAGAGGCACTGTATGTCCCCACTCAATATATACCAAATGCCTGCCCTCTATGGCAGAAACTGAAAGACTGAATGGCATAAAAGCATGGAAAGCAACTATGGATACCAGAGACATAGTTGGAGGAGGGCAAAAAATGGGGAAGGAACAGAGGAAATCAAAAGAGAGAAAATTCAGCAACCAAAAAAAAAGGGAAAATTATCTGCTGATGACAATGTGTATGGTAGTTTCTTTGACTAGACAAATACATAGGGTGTTCATGATGGGAAAATTCATTTTCAATGTTGTCAAGATATACAGTGACTTAATGTTATAAATAAGAGAAAAAAGTATTTTTTTTAAAAAAGGGGGTAGTTTCTAATTTTACATTGAAAAAGACAGTGGTACCATTATTTTAACTAACTTAATACAGGATGATGAATAATTATTGGAGTTTTCAAATAAGAATTTGCTGTTGGTTTTAATACTAATATATAATAAAGCTAAATAAATACAAACTCCTATATTTTCATCCTCGTTTCTCTGATTCTAGACTTTCAGATATTTGGTTATCTGAGACAAAAATGAATTTGGTAAATAGGCAAAAAATATCTCTCTAGAAAACCCTACACAATGATGAATGAATTATACATCTAATTATACATTTTCGCATTTCTCTGTATTTTCCCTTGTTATCTTTTAATTTTAGAGTAGTTTTTAAAAAGTGTTGACGTGGTGTTTGCTATACTTTGAAATTTTGAATAAAGATATATTTCATGGGCATTAACATTAATTGAACAACATCCCTCTCCTTGAAGCACATTAAAGCAGCAAAAATTAGCAAAATTTTCCCTCTCAGGAAACAAGATCAGAACTACTAGGATCAGTTGAATCTCACTCAGTGAAATCTCTCTGCATTACCAAATTTGGAGGTTTATTTTAACACATCATTTCTATAAAAACAGCCATTATTTATAAACCAATAAAGCAACACACACACACACACACACACACACACACATGTCTGAACTGTGAATCGCTGATCTAAAAACTGGTTCTAACTCAGTCAAATAAGGTTAGAGGAAGGGAAGAGAGAACAAGACAAGGGAGAGGACAAAGACAGAGAAAAGATCGAAATGTAAGGAGGATATAAAGAAAGGAGAAAAAGATGAAGAGGAGGAAGAAGAGAAGGAAGAGAAGAAACAATCAGAGTAACATTTCTTTGAACGTTTGCAAATATAATTCTACAGCACTGTAATTAAGTAACAGGCTCACATATAAAAGCTTGCCATTCTAAAATACTGTTGATAAAAACTATTTTTAACTTTTGCCTTTGAAAAAATATTTGTATTAATAATATAATTATTAAAACACTAATATTGTTGTAGTAGATGTACACAAGGTTATAAAAAGACACTGCATGATTTCTATATAATACATACAAACATATTGAGTCATAAGAAAAGTTGTAACACATTCTCGCATAGAAAAATATATCATGTCTTTCCCAAGAACCCAATATATAGTTAATTATATATTATTTATTCAAGATATAAATTATATACAATACATAACAAAATTTTAGGATTAATGAATATATAAAACAATGTATCAGCTGCTAGCATTCTAAGCAATTGTATTTTTCATTAAACCTGTGCAAAAACATTTTCTCAAAAAGCATACAATTTTTTTTTTTTTTTTGGAGAGGCTTTTGCTATATAGGTGCTTGTGTTAGCCAGAAAGACAGAGAGAGATAGAAAGACAGAAAGCAAGAAATCACCCCACAGGGGGTATGGCCACTCCACAATCCCTTATCCTTCTCTTGGAATTTTGGGCATGCGTGCACATGTGCCTGGCCTGAGTTTAGGCCACCAAGTCCGGGACTCGAACTGTGGTTGACTCTGTGGTAGACTACATGGGAGTCCAGTGACATAGTCATTACGCCAACTGCTGGTCCCATAAAATCTCTTTTAATGTGCATGAATAATGCTCTAATTCTCCATGTACAACACCAAAAATTAACCTAGTTTTACAGTTTATGTTACTATGCCAGAATGAAAACAAAAGGCTAGTAAGTGCTGGAGTTTTAAATGGGTACCACATAGGAATAACCTAAATAATTTAACCTTATTGCCTGATTTCCTTTCTTTTAACTGCCACGTGGGAAAGGTTCTTAACATCCTGGCCTATCAAAGATGTGCTGACCAGAAACTCATTTTATGATAGTAATACCCCATATATCTTACCATGTATCTCATTCTACTGGGATATTTACTATTCCATGTAAGTTAGCTGTCAAGACAAATGTAGCATACAACTTGAAGAACCAAAGAGTTTTTTGTTGTTGTTAAAGTCATATTTTCTATATATATCTGACATATTTATTGATTGTATATAAAATCTTATACTCTCTTAAGCATGAGGGGCTACAAAGATACATCCAATGAAGATCTTAGTCTCATTAGTCTAAATAATGCACACATATAAGTAATAGAGATTTAATAAAAATAGCTGCCTAAGAAATATTAAAATAAAATGTTCTAAGAAATATTATATCTGGAAACAAGTTAAATCAGAGAGGAATTCCATGAGAAATGGCATTATTTAAAATTAAATATAACAGTGGAGAAGGATTTTAAAACCTAGAGCTGTGGCAACAGATCAAGTAAATGGAGTTTCCTGTCAGACATGAAACAATGGAAAAGGAAATGATAAAAACGTGAAACAAAACATCCAAATCATGAGGGACCAGGATAAAATTTTTTATTTAATTTGTTTTTAGTAAGAAGCAAATGACTGGTTTGAGCAGTAGAATAATACGATCAGGAAGATAAATCAGGTATTACTATGTAGAAGTAGAAAAGGAAGAGACCAATGATCTAAAATGAAGAGAATCCAATATGAAGAATTTAAACAGCAGGTAAAAAAAAATTTAAAGGAAGAGATATATGCAGAAATACAACATCCAAAATTTGAAAACCAAATTGATAGAATGGTCCAAAAAGGAGTCAAGAACAAAGTTGACACAAGTCCCAATTACTACGAAGATAACAGGCCTGGAATCTAAACAGAGGGTGTAAGAACATGAGTATATGGGACAGGAGATAGTAATTCAGTGTTCTACAGTCTGAGTTCCACGGACCAGAAAAATATCCAGATGGCAGCAACTCATAGGTGGCATAAGAATACATAAAAAGCTCTCTGAAGATTAGAGAAGGCTACTATGAAATCAGAATGAAATTGAAGCTCTATACACAAAAAAGTGACTTGTCTGTTTAGTTCGCTGTCATATCCGCAGTGTCTACAATGGTGTCTGGTACTCATTAAATACAAAATTGACATTTATTAAAAGAATGCCATAGAACAGGATGAGAGAGTGTGAGAGAGACACATCACAAGAGGTCAAAAGACTGACCTTACAGAAACAAAAAAAGAACAAAAGTTAAAAAAAAACACTGACAAGAATAAAAGTATTAAGAGTCATAGGAAAATCAGTGAAAGAGAATATTACAGAAGTCATCACAGGTGAACTTCAAGACAGAAAGAATGATAAACTGTCATTCTAAACAGAAATATTTACTTTTACCTACCTTGCGTGGTTGAAAATCATATTTTACACAGTGCTGAAAACCCTTTCCTTTGGACTTCAGTGATGTGACTATTAAACAGTTGCCAACAAAATGAGCAGAGTAACCAACTCCTTTGCTAGTACGAAAACTGTAAAGAAAACAAAATAGTTAATGTCCTCAGATAGAAAGAACTATACATTTAATAAGTACTGGACATTATAAAAATTAATGTTCCTGATGAGTAGAAGGGATTTAACATGTACCAAGAAAAACTAAAGCATAAAAAGCCTCATAAAAATTAAAACATGTAGGATTTAAACCATGAAACAGAAGACTATAAAGCTTTTAATATCTCAATTTAAAATACAACAAATACATAAAGAAAAATGAAAGGTCCACAAACGCCTACAACATTGACTTTTAAGGACCATCTGAAATCACCAAATACAGAACTCATTTACATACAGTTTCTGTTTTCAGAAACAACTGACTCTCTAATTCTGCTATACCTTTGAAAACAGCTTCCAAATTTAAAGAAAACAAATGGTCAGAACCAAGTTTGATAAATAATGTGTTTGGCCAAGCAAAGGAGTATATTTTTAGTTAAAAAAAAAAAGAAAGAAGAAAGAAGATAGGACTATAAAATAAAGTTGTTTTATTCTAGAGGAACACTCCTCCTAGCTGTGAATTTAATTACAATGTTGAAAACATTCTAATGTTTTGAAAAATAAACATTATCACTGAAATAAATTTACAATTTCCTAAAATGATCATCTGAAGTTCAGCTGCTTTATTTAATATTCCCTCTTGTTACTATTTATATATCTCGATACTACAGATAGTATTTTGGAATAGAATTTACAAGGTAGTAGTAGCTTCTATTTTTTTAACTTACATTTCTGAGCCAGTCACCATACAAAGCACTTTAAATAGCATTCCCTTATTAAATCCTATGTAATAGAACTATTTTTCTCTATTGCCAAAAAGAATGTACTCACCAGAAAGAGAGGAAAAACACTCTTACTATAGGGCATGATCACATTGCAATCTTCCTCTATTGAGAGAATCCTATCCCATCAGGATTTGGGGCATGCAGGCACATGTACCCTGGTTGTTTCTCAAGAAACCAGGGCTGTGATTCAAACCACAGTTGGCCACATGGGATCCAGCATCCTGTATACAGTGCTTAACCATTGCACTACTGGAATGGCCTGAGATAGGTACTATTAATTTCTATCCTTATTTTATAGTTGAAGACACCAATGTACAGGTTGAATAGTAACTGGTAAAGACAGACTTCAACTCAAGTAGCCTTAATTCAGAGCACAAGAGCATTACAAGTAACAAATGAATTAGAACAAATGATCCCTTGAGAACCAGCAGTTATTGTAATGACTATGTCACTGGACTCCCATGTAGTCGACCATGGTTCACGTCCCGGAACCCGGTGGCTTAAAACTCACACCGGGCACATGTGCATGCGTGCCCAAGATCCCGAGAGGAGAATGGAGGAGAAGGGATTGCGGCATGACCATCCCCTCTGGGGGGTGATTTCTCACTTTCTGTCTCTATGTCTCTCTCTGTCTGGCGAGCACACGTGCCCTATAACAAAAATCTCTCCAAAAAAAAAAAAGATCCCCAACTTAAGTTTAAGACTATGTTTTTTTTGTTGACCTTATAGATGGGTTTATCTAGACATAATCCCATCACAAGTCAAGGAGTATCTAGACTCAACACTACTTTGACTTTACAATGAGTTTATAGGGGTTTTAAATGCATTTTCCACTTGTACTTTTGTCTTACAATGAACTTAAGAGGAAATTATCCTTTTTTTTAAGTCGAGAAATATCTATATATGTAACCATTTTCAAGGCCTAGCATATAGTAAGGTAATCAATGAATTTTCGATATTCTTATTTATAAGTATGCCTTACTAAACATTATTTGTAAACTAAAATTACCAAGTTTTCAGTCCTTACAGATCAGCCCATCAACACATTCTGCTAGTTGTCTCCATATGATTAATCTTACCTGATTATAATTTCTTACATGGCTATTAACATCTTTTAAATCGTTCATCAATTATGCATTCAAAAAGCAAAATAAGAGAAAAATCAAAGTGAATAAAATCTGGGAGGTTTTTTTTCTTTCCTCCTCTCCTTGATCAGGGGCCAGCAATCTTTATTAAAAAACTCTACATTGAAACAGATTGAACAGAAAAGGTCTGTTAGCTTTGACTTTTAAACCGTAAGTGGGAAAATATTAATTAAGTATAAATTGGTCTGTGTCTTTTATAGTTTTAACATATATGTTCTATTTTTTCAGACTATGTTATATATTTGCAGAATTGAAGCAGTGAAAGAAAAAAGTCCTAAAATTAAACATTTTTACTTACCAATAAAGATAAGGTTTATCCTTATCAACATTAATATTATTTAATGGATCCATTCGAAACCAAGTGTTTAGGGTGAAGCCATTCTGATAAGGCCACTTTGCAATAGGAGGCAATGCAATTGCCTATAAGAAAATGATAAAAGACAAAAGTATCAGTTAAGGGAAATGTTATAGTAACTGGAGTCAAATAAGGAATAAGGTTTTTATGGAAAGAGGGTGGGAAAGAACAGAGGGTCAGACATAGGGGTAAATATATGTAAATATATATATATATGTGTGTGTGTGTGTGTGTGTGAGAAACTAGAAATAGAAAATTATTGATGATAACATATATGATTAAGCCACTATGCAGTATATTCTGGATGGGAAACTACTATTTTGTATACTGTGATGATGATTAGGGGATCAATGTAAACTGATTAATTAAAAAGTTTCAGGAGAATAAATAAATAATAAAATTATTCTATTTGAACAGAATTAAGGTATAAATATCACAAAATCAAGAACAAACATAAAAAATATAAACTACGATATGATAAAAATAATTTACCTATATTATTTGTTGACTATAGAAACATTATGTTTTCAGATAGTCGGTGAATTAAGTTTCATCTCTAGGATACATAGTGGGTTTCAGACTAAACTCCAAAAAGTCCCTCTCTAGCTTCACCAATAAAATCCCTTATATACATGCCTCAGAATTTTCAGTTTTCTATAGGTTATGCTAGGTTTTAAGTAATAACTTATTTGAATAAAGGAGACTGGACCTTTAAAGCCAAAAACAACTGTGTTAGAGAATGTTAATAGAATCTATATTGATACACATACTGAGACTCTATTGTGTTTTTTAAGTACTTTTTTTTTAAATATAATTTCTGGTTGACATATAACTGATATATATGGGGGGGGCTACAATATGGCCTTTTTATTTTTAAAGGGAAATTTTTGCTATAGGGCACATGCAATCAACAAAGAGACAGAGAGAGAGAGACAGGAAGAAATCACGCATCCCAGCGGGGCATGGCCATGTCGCAATCCCTTCTCTTCTACTCTCCTCCCAGGATCTTGGGCATGCACAAGCTCCCAGTGTGAGTTTCAAGCCCCTGAGTCTGGGACTCAAACCGAGGTTGGTCATATGGGAGGCTAGCAACCATTATACCATCTGCTAGTCCCCAGTATGGCTTTTTAAGGCATGCATATACAGTATATAATAATCTAATCATGGATATAAACATATCTATTTTCTTCAACTTTGAATACTACATTATGTTATACATGTTTGTTAACCGTACTACTAGTTTTGGGACCAGCAGATGGTGTAATGGTTGTATCGCTGGGCTACCATGTTTGAGGCACAGATCCAGAAGCTTAAAATTCTTATCAGGCACATGTGCATGCATACCAAAATCCTGAGAGGAGACTGGAGAAGAGATTGTGGCATGACCTACTCCCTGGGGGTAATTTCTCGTTTTCTCTCTTTCTTTCTCTGTCCCTCCAGCAAGCACATGTGCCTTACAGCAAAAATCTCTTAAAAAAATGAGTTCTACTAGTTTACTGGGAGACTAAATTTTCTATATATTTTACTCTGCCATAATACACCATATAATACCCTCTTCTCTTTATTTATATGCATTTTTGTGTCTATTAAAAATTACTCTGGCCCAGCAGGAGGCCTAATAGTTACAGCACTAGATTCCCACATGGATGACAGCAGTTCAAGTCCCAGATCCAGTGGCCTGAAATTCATGCCAGGTACATGTGCATGCATGCCCAATTACCTGGGAGGAGAATGGAGAAAAAGGGAAAGTGGTGTGGCATTCCCCACTTGGGGGTGATTTCTCACTTTCCCTCTGTCTCTTGTCTCTCCAGCAAGCATGTATACCCTATAACAAAACCCTTTTTAAAAAAAAAAGTGAAAACGAAAAAAAAAATTCTCACAAAACCCACACCCACCCCCAAGCAGCTTCTGGTATCTACCTTTACTCTCATTACTCTACTTCTATGCTTCTAAGTCCTTCAGTTTCCTGCCATCGGCTATGGACATTTGGTATATGTTAAGTAGGGACATACACTATTTATCTTTCATAGTGTAGGCTTATTTCACTTAATATTTTATCTTCTAGGTTAATCCAGTTTTGTCAAATGATAGGATTTTCTTATTGTTTATGGCTGAATAGAATTTCATTGTATATATGTCTACCAGTTAAGTTGTTCAATTTAAGAAAATAATTTATACCATAGTATTGTGACTTAAAATACAGAAAACACTCACCATGTGGTCAATAAATAATCTCAAAATGGTCAGAGATTTATAAGTGCATGCTGTCAAAAATAGATACACAAGCACACACACACACATACACACACATAATTTCAAATGAAGAATCAAACATTACAAATAAACAAAAACTTTTCATACTTTCATATTCTTAAAAATTATTTTTGGCTTTTGTCATAGGAGTGTGCATTCACTAAAGAGAGACAGATTCAGTCAGTGAGAGGAATTCACCTCCGCAAGGAGAAAGGCCATGCCATAATCCCTTCTCCTGTATTTTTTTTTTTTTTTTGAGAGGTTTTTGCTATAGGGCACATGCACTCCCCAGAAAGACAGAGACAGAAAGCAAGAAATCGCCCCTCAGGGGAGATGGCCTAGCTGCAATCCCTTCTCCATTCTCCTCTTCGTATCTTGAGCACGCACGCATACACACTCGGCATGAGTTTAAGCCACTGGGTCTGGGACACAAACCGTTGTCGACTACATGGGAGTCCAGCAATATAGCCATTACATCAACTGCTCCATTCTTTACCTGGGATTTTGGGCACATGCACCCATTGTGATTTTCAAGCTTCCAGGTCCAGGACTCAAACCATGATTAGCAATGTGGGAGTCCAGCACCTTAACCAACATACCACTTGCTGGTCCTTTCTTTCAGAATTAAATGCTTAATCAATTAGTTCATATGGTATAATTTTCTAACGATACAACTTTTCTTGACTTTTTAAAAAGGGAAATATATTACTTTATTATTTTGTTGCTAACAAAAAAACATTCTGTGCCATTTACCACTAGTTAATACTTCCATAAATTTCTGTAAAACAGAATGTACACTTAACATAGTTTGTATTAGGATACCAAGGTGAATAAAAAAAATATTAACTGAAGACAGGGAATAGTAAAATCAATCTATGGAATTATATAAAGTATCTAACAATTGGGTTAGTTTCTTCTTGATGCCTTTGAAACATATTGGCAAAGGGTTAGATTTGTGGTTTTCAAACTTTTGTCAAGACCAGCACAACCAAGAGCACTTTCACACTAGCAACAGTAGTTAACTGTAGCACTATCACCAGAATAATAAAAAGTATCATCTGGGACCAGCAGTTGGTGTAATGGCTATGTCTCTGGACTCCCATGTAGTCAATTGTGGTTTGAGTCCCGGACCCGTTGGCTTAAACTCATGCCAGGCACGTGTCCGTGCATGCCCAAGATCCCAAGAGAACGGAGGAGAAGGGATTTCGATGTGGTCATCCCCACTGGGGGGTGATTTCTCGCTTTCTATCTCTTTGTCTGTCTCTGTCTTTCTGGCGAGTGCACATGCCCTATAGCAAAAACCTCTCAAAAAAAAAGAAAAACATAAGTACCATTGAGGGGGCCAGTAGGTAATGACTGTGGTGCTGGAACTCAACCACAGTTTGAGTGGACCAACAGCTTGAAAGTCACAACAGAAGTGTGTGTGTGTGTGTGTGTGTGTGTGTGTGCACCCAGAATTCCAAGAGGAGAAACAAAAGAGAAGGGATTGCAGCATAGTCATTTCGCTTATGAGGTAATTTCTCACTATCACTCTTTCTATCTCTTCCCAGCAAGGACACTTACCCAATGGCAAAAAAAAAATAAAAATAAAAATAAAAATGTACTGGCCTTACTAGTCAACCCACGAGATGGTGGTTAAGACAGCTGGATCCCATATGGCTTATTAAGTGGTTCTATTTCTGGACCTGGTAGCTTTAGAAACACACTATGCTTGTGTTCACATTTGCCCAAAATCCTAAAAAGAGGGAGAAATGAAAGAGGAGTTGCAGTAAGACCATGCCCATGGAGGGTGCTTTCTTGCTTGCCCAGGGAGCATACATACTTGCCAGCAAATTTTTAAAAAAAGTACATCACCATTACCACTTTACCCCCATTACTCTACATACTCATGTGATCCCTATATATCCTCCATTAACCAATGCACAAAAGCTAACCTCACAAAATACTGCCTATTCTGGAATACAGGTCCATTAACTTCAAAAATCATTTGTGCCAAATCTCACCACCCATTTCCTATATTCCTCATATTTCTTCCTAATCTTATGATGTTAAGGGCAGGCCTTTGGACTTTTTTTTTTTTTTTTTTTTTTTTTTTTTTTACTGTCACATTGTTTTAGATATAATACACACACACACAAGTAAAACTATTACATCTAAGAGAAACTCTTAACTCTTTAGGGTCAGTGACAGTGTTTTCTCAAGTTATGTACCAGAATGTATATTTTATATGTGTTCCACTCTTAACAGTCCGATATGTAAAATAATAATTTCCATCTGGATACTCAATTCTTAACTTTCTTACTTCACAAATGATGGAAACGTTTTCTAAAAGTTTAACAAAAATACTAAGAACTAAAGATAAAATTAGGAGTTGACAAAATATTATAATGTCAGAACACTTAATTAATTACTAATAATAACCTAAGAGCACAGATATTTGCATAATGTTTGATAGCTTATATATTGCTTAACTGGAGTATTAGTTACTAGAGATACACAATAAGCCCATTCTGTAAAGAAAGTTTTATTATTTTACATGAAAATAAGCCAGGAAACATAAAGGGACTAGTCCCCCTCCTAGATTCCAACTATGGATTCTAGAAATAGAAACGAAGTAAGTTGGCCAAAATTGTATGTGTTCTCTTCAATGTAGCAGGTAGATAACAATGATGAAATCAAGTTAATTGAGAAAGCTGGTTATTTGAATAGGTAAATTTCTAGGTAGACTAATCAGGAAAAAAAAAATAAAAAACTTCCATATCAAAAATGAAAGAGGAGGCATCACTAAATATCCAATAATCCTAAAATAATACTAAGGGGATATTATTACCAATTTTGTACCAATATATTTAAAAACTTAGAATAACTGGACAAATTACAAAAACACAAACTACAAAAGCTCACTCTGGTTAAAATAGAAAACCTCCCTATATCTACTATAAAATTATATTTGTAGTTAAAAACTTTCCCACAAACAAAATTCCAGACCAGACACCTGCAATGGCAAAGTTTAGCACACAATCAAGAATAAATTGCTATGAATAATACAAAAACTCTCTAGTAATAGATAAAGAAATACTTCATAACTCATTTAAGAGAATAGATACCAAAGCCAAAGAAAGACATTACAAGAAAAATATACTCCCAAATCACTCATTAAAAATAACCACAAATCTTGTAATAATGTATTAACAAATCAAATCCAACATTACATGGAAAGGATAATAAATGGATATCATGCAGTTTTTTAATCCTAAGACTGCAAGGTTGATTTTAACACTCAAGTATCAGTCAATGTAATTAATCACATCAGTAAAAATTAAAAACAAAAACCACAAGATTATTTCAATAAAATCTGAAAGGCATTTAACAAAATTCAGCACCTATTGATGATCAAAATATTGCCAGCCTTCTAGAAATAGAAATAAATTGCTAGACCTGACAAAGGGCATATCTAAAAACCTAAAACTAGCAGCATAAAATGGTTAGATGCTTACTACTGTCTCCCTAAGTCTAAGTCAAGAATGTTTCTTCTACTCAACATCGCACTAGAGGTCCAGCCACCACAATAAAGCAATAAAATGAAGTAAAAAAGCATACTGATTGTAAAGGAGAAAAATGGTTTTATATTCAAATAAAATGATCTCTTTAATCCTATGGCAACTAATGAAAAACTGCAAGGGCTAATAAGTGCATTTAGCAAGGTCTCAGTATACAAAGTTGATATATCCAAAAAAAAAAAAGTACTTTTATATGCTAGTAAAAAACAATATGGAATATTTCTGGATAAATTTAACAAAAGATGTTTAAGACATACACCAAAAATTACAAAAGATGAGAAAATAAAATAAAGCAAAGGGAAAAATACTGTGTTCATGAATATAATAGTCAATGTTAAATTAATCTTTTCTTTCCAAATTGTTCTATAATTTAACATAACACAATCAAAAGCACTACAGGTTTGTCATAAAAGTTGATAGGATTATTCAGCCATGTACTTGGGAAAGTAAACAATCTAGAAAAACCAAGATAATTTAAAAATGAAGAACAAAACTGGACTAGTTATCAAGAACTACTAGCTTCGTGGTTATAATAATAAAGACAATATGATTTGGTATAAGAAAAGACACATAGGACAAAGGAATAAAACTGGGAGTTCAGAAATACAACCTCATAAATATGGCCAATTAATTTTCAAGAAATATGCCAATGTAAGTGAAAGTGAAAAAAAATATTTTTTCAGCAAATGGCTATGCAATAAATGGGTATTCATGTGCAAATAAACAAAAATGTTAACCTCCAACTTTGCTTCTCATCTCATAAAAAATACTTAACACAAAGGGAAATAGAGATTAAAAATATAAGAACTAAACTTATAGAACCTGTAGATGCAAGCAGTAAAGAAAAAAATGTCATGAACTTGGTTTAGATTAATTTCTTAGGATAAAAAAAGATTATGTCGAAGAAATAAAATTTTAATTGAACTTCAACCAAAATAACTTTTGTATCTGAAAAAATACTGTTTAAAAAATGAAAAGACAAACAACAGACTAAGAGAAAATAATAGATAAATATGTATCTAATAAATGAAATTATACCCCAAATATATCATGAACTCAGGATAATAAAAACAACCAAATTTTTTTTAAAGAAGCAGAAAATTTGAACACAAATACCATGAAGGATATAAAAATTTTTGAATATAAGAATGGTCACTATACACATGAAAAAATGTTTAACATCATGTCATAAGAGAAATGCAAATTATAATGAAGTACCAATACATAGCCACTTAAATGTGTCAAATTAAAAAGACTGACAATGTCTGGAATGCAGCTCATCTGGTACCCTCACACATTACCAATGGGAACACAAAATTTTCCATTATGGAAAACAATTTGACAGTTTCTTATGAAGGTAAACATATACGTACCATAAAACCAAGCAATCTCATTGAGGTATTAAACCAAGAGATAAGAAAACACATGTCCACAGAAAGACCTGTTCTCACATGTTCACAGCAGTTTTATTAACAGCCAAAAACTAAAAACCCGAATGTCCACCAACTAGTGAATAGAAAACTAGTATATCCATACCAACACAAGTCAAATAAAAAGGAACTCAATTAACTGTTTATAAAAGCTACAACACAATCTCAAAAGCATTATAGGAAGTGAAAAAAGCCTAAAACAAATAATGTATACTGTATGATTTTATTTCTCTGATAAGTCATAAAAGGCAAAATTCTGGAAACACAATAGATTAGGACAAGGACTGGATAGAAGGACTTGGTGACATCACATAGGTACATGGGAATGTGGAGAGTAATGGAATTGTTCTAAATCGAGACTGAGAAGGTAGTTACAGGACAATTCAAAATTCATTAAATATTATTTTTAATTCATAAATTTTATTATATGTAAATTATACTTCAATAGAGCTTACCTAAATAAATAAAAATAGGCACATGTACTTAAAACTTACCGCAGCACTACAACCGGGAAAATTGAAAAAAGTATCAGGACCATGTCTCTGTGGCATCTGATTCAGAACTGATAATAATTTTACTGCATGTCTTGGCTGAGAAAACAATAAAAAAAAAGAAATGTCATTGTACAAATTTAGAAATACATAACATACCTTTTTAGTCACTGAACTGTTTTCTAACTAAACAGAAAATTAATTTTAAATCATTTACTAAACATTTACTAAGTCATTTAAGAGAAAACACTTTCCCATTATAAATTGAAGAATATAGCTCTCTAGAGACAAATTGTAGAACATTAAATATTAATGAACTGATATTGAATACTCTTCCCTCTGACCACAGCTTACCCAGATTCCACTTTCTCCTCGAAGCATGCTGAACAAAAGCTTCAACTCCTTTACAGTGATGCTGTAGCTGGCAAGAACCCCCAACATATCAACTAGAAGATCTTCAAAGGAAAATAAAGTTATTCTGAACTCTAGTCATGAGCTGTCATCTGTCAAGATAATACACTTTTTTGAAAGAGCAAAAGTTATCTATTGTCATTTACATATATGTATATTACCTAATAAAGCTAAATACCCTCATGAATAGTTATTACTTTTAAGTCATCACATATCAAAAAAATTTAACCATGGAATTTTCCCCCATTAGATTCACCATTCCAATTAAGGTTTCTTAGATGATACAATATAAGAGATTACATATATTCCCCAAATACACACATATTCATAAACAGGAACAGCACACACACAAATCCATTGTGTGCAGGAAAAGGGAGGTAAAAATACGCAAAGGTACAAAGATTTAACATTAAAAATGAGCAATTTCCAAATGAAAAAGTTAACTATATTTTCTCTTAGAAAATATTCTTATATATTATTGAAATATTCCTTGGCCTATTAACAAGTCTGAGAGCTTACTCCATGTGAGGCATTATTCCATGAGGTTTACATTTCCTAAACTTCCTAAATCCTCCTAACAAACCTATGAGGTAGGTACAATTATTATCCCTCCTACCTTTCTAATCCCAAAGAGAAACAGGGGAGAGTGAGAAATCACTCTCCAGTGAGGATAGCCACACTGCAATCCCTTCTCCTCTACTCTCCTCTCTGGATTCTAGGTACCCATGCACACAGGCTGGCCATGATTCTCAAGCCACGGGGTCCCGCACTTGAATATCCCAGTCGGCCATGTGGGATCCAGTAGCTTAACCTCCATGCCACCTTCTAGCCCCATATCATCCCCTTTTAAAAGAGAGTGAATGGTGGCAGAAATAACTTACACTGGTCAAGAACATACAGGAGAGTAAAGATTTAAACCCAATGAGCTCATTCTTACTAATATTAAGTGGAAGTGTACATCACACACATTACTAGTCACATCCACTTATGTTAATGTGTGTTAGTATGCATACAGCAGCATACCAGCTCACCAAATAATGAGAAAAATTATACAAATTTAATTTTTTGCCTCTGATGACTTTCTTTACACACTGTTACTAATACTTCCACTAATTTTCCTTTAACAGGAAATTAAACATCTAAGCATTCTTTAGTTCCTCAATCTCTTAAGTATTTTTTAAGAATTAAGCACATTACACAAATTATTACAACTCAATGCACGTACACACATACATACATATATAATATGTATATATAATGTTTTAAAAAGATCATAAATTGGGGCCAGTAAGTAGTGGCCTGGTCGTTGAGGCAATGGACTCCCACATGGCCAACCACAGTTTGAATCCTGGACCTAGCAGTTTCCTCTCTCTCTCTGTCTCTGTCTCTCTCTCTCTCCACACACATATATATATGTTGAATTAAAATAATAATTATCAATTGATTAAATAATTCTTTTAAAAATATCATAAACAAATTCAAAATAATAGGTTAGATAAGGGTAAATTGAAATATTTAGTTATTTATATATAATGTATATTTATCCAATATCACAGATTAATAACTAGGAATTGAGATTTTTTTAAATAGTGTGTATTTCAAAATAGAAATCTAATATGGTTATTTTTAGCAATAAATAAGATTATTAATTATTACTTAACACCACAATAAGCAAGCAATCTATAAGATAAAACTGTGACAGTAGATAATGCTGCTTTTTAAGAAATCGTTTTATGAAAATGGTTTCGTAATTTAAGTTTAAAAAAAGTATGAAAATGTTAGTAATCATCAGTCAGGAAAGTCTTTTTTTAAGAAAGTTATAGATAAAAATCAAGAGACTTAAAACTAAGCTAATCTGAAGCCTTTTATACAATAGCTACAATGTAACCCTTCATAGAAGATTTCTTAAAGGTCTACATACAAATTTTTTTAAAAAAATGTGACTTCTATTTACAAACCTTTATCTTGTTTTCTATATATGCCACAAAGAAATGATGTACTAAATTTATATTTAATTATGATGTTTTAAAATTCCTTATATATTGTACATGTTACAGAGCCAAGCAAATCAGTTTACTTTTATTATAGCAAGTACTCTTTTCTAGACAACAGATTTTTAAAAGAGAAAAAATACTATGAAATTCTCTAGTCAATTTTCTACAAATGCTGGATTATTTCCTAGTGAAACTATATTAATAAATAAAAAATACCTCTTAGAAATTAACATATTTAAGATACTAAAACACAGAGATGAAAATTTATTAATGTTTTGGTGGCTATTGGTTCTTCCTCAGTATTCTATCTAAGTTTTAATTTCTCCACCAAAAAGCAAGATAGAAGTATGTTTTTTATGTTCATTCTTTTTCACAGCCTTCCATCAACAGGGTTTTTGGTGTGAAATGCTTATAATTACAAACAGTAAAACTGCCGTGTTATCAATATTATTATTACTGAGATGAGAGGATAAGAAAGTTAGGGAGCTTTATGTAACAGAAAATCGCAATATACATACTTGTATGATACTATCATCCTCACTGTGAACTGTACATCTGAATACTGATAAGTCATATACCAATATATTATTATAAATTTAATTTTGGCTGATTCTCGAAACTGCATTCTATGAGGTAGCAGCCATTTTATACCCCCCAAAAAATTTAAAGGCATAAACCCAGACAGAAGGATTGAAAAATCACATGATGCTTTATAGGATATATGCACACTTTAATATATACAGAAAAATTCCTGTTAAACCACTCTAGCATTTACAAAAATAATACTGTATCTTCATTAAAATGGTATTTTAAGAAATGTAAAACTAAATTTCATTTTTCATCAAGTTAGCCATTAGTACCCAATACAGCGAATACTAAATCATTTTAAATGGAGATAGATGACCACTTCAGAGCAATTAGAAATTAATTTATTCTCTAACAAAATGAAAATTCTAAAATATGTTTTTAATTTGAAAGCATTCTTCATGGTCATTCTATCTTTTATTGTTTAATGTTTGCTCCACAAATTTTAAAACTAAGAATACCATCTGGTATATTTAAGGATTAGATATGATACTGTGAAAAGTCATATTAGCACTTTTATAATTGTGTTACATTTATGTCAGGAGATACTTATGCTAAAGATTCATGAGTTATAAGAATCAACATGTCAAACTCTAAACTTATTTTCTGGGAATAACTGTTGCTCTGGGACCATCATTCAATATACTGAAGTAGATCTAACCACAGAGGAGAATGAACTTTCAGGAAGTAAATGGTTAGTGATTTAAAAACAAAACAAAACAAAAAATTGATTTCAAAGATATTGTTTAAGGTAACCCATATAAGCACAAAAATGAGTATTCTACCTTAACATTTTGTGACAATTTTATATTCTATTACACAATATGTATATATTTTAATACAAAAGTTTCCCCCTGAAAATATCAAGTTAAATGAATATTTCCGAAAGATATATCATGCTTTTTCAAAGGCTTTTAGTACCTTCTGACATAATACCTCTTCTATAGATGTCAGACTGAAGAACATGGAGCTCAGAGAATTTGGTAAAGGGTTCATTAAACAGAACTGTAACATTTTCTGTGATTATATAAAAGTTTCATTAAATATTACAAAAAATAGATAATGTTTATTTTTCTGATTGGTTCATAACACTTACTTCCCGGTAGTAAGATTTTTCAAAACTCAGAAATGCCACATTAGTAATTATATTTGTCTAAAATAGTAATTGTCTTCCTTTAGGTTTTCCATCAATATAAAAGGTAAATTTTCCATATATTCTTTATCTATTTGAAATTAAGGTAGCTTCAACAAATCCATGTTAGCAGTAGAATACAGAGAGTAGTGCATGAAACTTTACGAACATTTTTCTGCCAGATACCTCATACCTGCAATCATGTCATCTACAGCACTCATTTTCAGCAATACTTGTTCAATGAGCCCAACTTCTGTGCTAGTCTGTAAATTCCGAACACTTTTTCGCAGAATGGCTGTAAACATGCTCCATATTTCTGCTTGACATGTTACATCACAGTGCTCCAAAAGCTCTGTCATGCATGTTATGCTCTCAGCATCTTGGATGATAAAGTTCATCTCCAAGTCAAATTCTCCACCAACCAGCTAAAAGTGAAGAGAAAGAAACAATAACTAGCAATAATGTGGGAGGTTATTTATAATAATTAAAACAATAATAAAATTCAATCAGCATGACTACTCTAAAATACATCAAGTTTCCTGATGTAAAACTAATTTTGATTTAAAAAAATAATTAAGAGTTACAGAAGAGTAAAAAGCACAGTAAGAACTGAAACCACCAAAGAGAGATCTAATTTTCACAAAGATGAAAGGGTGATTGTGGGCATACAATATGGCAAACTATTGTACATGGTTACTGGGTTGGACTCAAACAAATTAAAAAGAAAGGTTTGGCCCTTGAAAGCGACCATCAAGAGAAACTACAGAGTTCACAAAGACATGAAATCATTTTCTTTTTTAGTTTCACTGGTACTACAGATAAAGAGATGTAATGAATATGAAACTGATACTAACACAACAAACAGTTAAATATTGAAAAGACTAAATGAGTGTTAAAAAATTAGTTTACAAAAAATATATGAGGTGTTATGATACCTTTTTTTAAAACCAGTACAAATGTTATTTGGAGAGAAGAAGCAGATTTAACACCTACATATTTGACTTTGCAAGATGTCAAGTAAATTGAAAGTATTACTGTACATCTCAAATGACACTTCAAGTACAATGATGGACAAATACAAATCAAATTAAAAGGTATCATGGGTTGTTGGAAAAACCATGCCACATTTTTGCACAGAAAGAATACATCATGATTTTTCCAATAACCCAATAAATTATGTCATTTATCACTCTCTTTTTGTTGATCAAATCACATATCAATTATTATATCCACATACAAGAATCATACTTAAAGAAGAACACTGGAAAACTGGATATTCTTTTGACCTACAGAACAGGAGATTTAGTAATAAAATAATAACCATATACATAATATGTGACAAATTTTATGCCATTCATTCATTGTTCATTCTACAGATATTTTTTCATTTTTTAATTTCATTTTCTTTTATACATTTAATCACATTATTTAGCTTACAAAGTGAATATTTCAACATGTGAACATTTCTCCCTAGTCCAGTTGATAAAACTATAAAATACCTTCAACAGATTAATACCACATTTGTTTGTCCCATTCAAACTTTGCCTATTTTTCTTCTAAATGTCCTTCCTTAGACCCTACTCTTTCACACACACTACACACACACTGTATCTGTTTTTTTTCTTTTGTTTTGTTTTTATTTTTGTAGAGAGGATTTTGCTATAGAGTGTGAGCGCTCACCAGACAGAGAGAGACAGAAAGCAAGAAATCACACCCCAGAGCCCTGACACTAACTGCTGGTCCCACAAACTATATCTGGTATTTACATCCATTTACTGTGTTTCTGTATCCTTTAGTCAATCAGTTATAATCACAGAGTACGGACACTCCATATATACTGAGTGAAGACATACAGTGTCTCTCCTCCATAGCCTGGCTTGCTTCACTCGGCAGTAAATCTTCCGTATTCTTCCACTTTCTGTCAAAAGCCACGGTTTTCAGATATGTTATTTATTAAGGTCTAGAACTTACTATTAAAAGAAATACAATATGTCAATGGACATAAAAAGGTTCATGCACTCATTTATACAAGGGGAAAAAAAAATCTATGCACTAATAATGGTAAATTCCAAAAACAAAGATGTATGTTTATGGGAGAGAATAGATGGCATGGTAGTTAAGGTGGCTGATCTCATACAACTGATTATGGCTTGAGCCCCAGACCTAGCAGCTTGAAAATCAGGCCAGGTGCATGTGCATGCCTGCCCAAAATCCCAAGTGGAAAATAGAGAACAAGGGATTGTGATGTGGTCATCCTCCCTAAAGGGTGATTTCTCATTTTCCCCTCTCTCTGTCTCTCTGGCAACACACATTACACAAAATCCTAAAATAAATAAATAAATAAAAGAGGTATGTATATGTATGTATATGCTTCCTTACTGACATAAATTATGAGTAGTTGAGAAAGAGGAAGCAAAGGAAAAACAACATTAGGGACAGAGAGGTGGTTAAATTAGGATCAAGAAAGACAATTAATATTCCATCACTGCAAAGTACTCACAAATACGGATGGATGGGAAGCAGCAGTTAGCGTAATGGCTATGTCACTGGACTCCCACGTAGTTGACCACGGTTCGTGTCCTGGACCCAGCGGCTTAAAACTCACGCCGGGCGCGTGTGCGTGCATGCCCAAGATCCCGAGAGGAGAATGGAGGAGAAGGGATTGCGGCGTGACCATCCACCCTGGGGGGGGGGGGGGGGGGGGGTGATTTCTCGCTTTCTGTCTCTCTGTCTCTCTCTGTCTTTCTGGTGAGCGCACGCTCCCTATAGCAAAAACCTCTCCAAAAAAAAAAAAAAAAAAAAGAACCTAATACAATTAATACAATCTTCATTTTACAAAGAAGGAATCATAGACACAGAAAGTAAAAGGACCTGAAAAAGGTCACAGAACAGAAAGAAAGGTCAAGATACAAACATAAAAAGTCTGTCTTCAAGCAAATCAATAGAAGCAATAAAAATTCATTTAAAAATATTTTCAAAGTCTTTTAAAATTAAAGATTTCTAAAGCAATGATATAAAATTTTGAAATATACTCTGTATGTATTTTTCTCTGTAATAGAGGCAAAATTCAACTTTACAAGCATCTAGTTAAATTCTTCAGCTAAATTCTGATCTTAAGACTGACCTAGATATTCTCAGCTACTTTCACTTTTATGAAACAATCTCAACTCCTTCTATTTCTGGTCAATTAACAAAAATAGCTACAACAGTGGTTATGAAATTGGCTCTGAATTCTGACTTCCTGAATTCATATTCCAGCTATATCACTCATTAGTTATGTGACCTTAACTTAGCTACTTTTCTAGGCCTGTAACTTCATCTACTATGGGTATGAAAAGCTCCTAACACGATTGTTGGAAAGATTACAAGAGATAAGTGGCTTATAAACTACTCAGGTACAATGGCAGCAGTATAGTTAGTATGCAGTTAAGATAAGTTACTGTCAAGACCAGTAGATGGCGTAATGGTTATGTTGCTGAACTCCCACGCAGTAGACTACAGTTGGAGTACCAGGCCCAGCAACTTAAAACTCAGGGTAGGCAAGTGTATGTGCACCCCCAAAATTCCAAGAGGAGAACGGAGAAGTGTGGCCATCCCCTCTGCGGAGTGATTTCTTGCTTTGTGTCTCTCTCTGTTTCTCCAGTAAGTACACACACCCTATAGCAAAACTCTCTAAGAAAAAAAAAAAGCCCCAAACCAAACCCCGCCAAAAAAAAAAAAAAAAAAAAAAGATAAAAGATTAGCTATTATCAGTCCTCTACCATGACCAGTTTCCAGCTAAAAAGTGTTCTGACCTGATCCAGTTACCTCTGAAATACAATCAAAGCTAGTCGGCTAAAGATTTGTTTATAGAGAACACAAATGTTTTGTGGATTATGTACTCTATAAGATTCTACTTGAAAATCTTTCTAAACTAAGACATCATTTTAACTATGCCAAAGTCTTACTTTGCCAAATACTTCCTATTTCTTATTATATGTCTAATAGACTTGAGTCATTACTACTACAAATCTTACAGACCTGTGATTAGCAACTTAGAAGAGATTCTCTAGAAGTAAATCACATAAAGAAATAAAAAGGCTTGAAAACCAGTGATGTAGACAATTTCAGATTGAATTAATAGAAGCAGAAGATTCTGAGGTTTATTATGCATATAAGACTATAAATAAATCTAAGGAAGAATGCATGTACATTAAAGTGGTAGAGAGCTTTGAAGTTTTTTTAGACTAACCTAAAACAGTTTTAACTGCTTTATAAGAGTCTGGAAAAACACAGCCCATGGCATGATGGTTCAGGCAGCTGGATCTCACATGGCTGAGTGTGTGATTGAGACTCAGAACTGGCTGCTTGAGAAACATAACAGGTGTACAAAAGTGCCCAAAATCTCAAAAGGAGGGAAACATAGAGGAGTGACTGCAGTGTGGGCATTCCTCACAGGGCAAGCTTTCTAACTGAGCCTCGTTCTTGTCCCTCTGGCAAGTGCATGTGCCCTCTGGCAAAAATTTATTTTTTTTACTAAAAAAAAGAGTCTGTTATAACCAATTACCATTATAAAATGTGTAAATAGCAGAGATGAACTTTATGAAAAAAAAATCTGCCTTTAAGGAGATTAATAAGGAATATCTGCATTTCTAACAATCAAGCTCTGTTATGTGAAGTCTAAGTTTCCAGTTTCACAATAAAAAACACAATGCCCCTTATATAAATCATTGCACTACAAAGAGACAGTTATGGCTCTCCAATTTCACTGTCAGAAGTGACAAACATATTTCTTGTAGATGTTGCAGAGTGGGTCTGTTTTATAAAAGGGGTTGGTCTTTCCAACTTTAATTATAATTTAATGCATTAGTGTGAGAGAGGCAAACTATTATATGAAACAATTATTCCAAGATTAGGGCTATATTTATTCCCCATTCCCATTAGTAATGAGTGGTTCAATACTTATCAGCAACTAAATCATGCAGCTACATATAGGAACAGATGACTTTTATTATTTAGACAATTCTCTAAAAATTCCATAAAGAAAAGGGATAATTGTCCTTACAGATAGAAACTGAGGATAGTAAGGTTAAGCAACATAGCCAAGGTCACACATAAATAAGTGAGAGATCAAGAATTCTACCTGAAATTATGAAGTCAGAGTTGTAGACTTGAGAAAGCAATAGAAGAAAGATGTGTGTAATAAGTCTATGAATGGTAAATGAAGAAAGACCATGAGTTCTGTGAGCAAAAAATAAAACATCTAGAGGTAGTAAACCATAACAAAAGTATTTTCTTAAAAGTTATTTCAGGAAGAAAATCTTGAAGGCTCAATTACAAGAGAATTAATAATAAAATATTAAAACAAACACAGAAAACATTCTGAAAAGCAAAGTGACACAGCAAAGCTGAAATAGCTAAACTGAGGCCAGCCATGGTGGCTCAG